GCTATATTTGGAATCATTTGTGATGGTACTGGCCATGGATGGCGTGAAAACACTTGAGAATTTGTTTGCTGACAGATCTTGGGGTGATGCCCTCGATTGAGGAGACATTTTATCCGATATTGAGCCTCTGTTAGGACTATTTGCCTGCACTTGTGTGTGCGGGCTGTGAGGCTGTGAAACTGATCTTTGAGCTGGCTTGACGGTCGCTGGGCCAGGAAGAGTGCCAAATTTGGGGAAGTTGAACTGGAAACTGACGTCGCTGAGGTTGCTGACAGCGGCATTTCCAAATGGCACCTTGGGACCAGTCGCAGGCTTGGGGTTGCCGACGACTTGCAACTTTTGTTTGTACATGTTGAGCTCCACGCTCATGCGATCGACCTGGGCACGCAGCTTGCTGTTTTCATGATTGGCAGCCTCAGAAGCCTTTTCCAGCTCTTCAACCTTGGTCTCAAGGTCCTTCAAATGTTTCTCCTTGCGCTCTCTGAATGCCCGCTGAGCGGCTCTGTTCTGAGCTTTGCGTTTCTATAGTACAAATTGTTAGATCTTTAATGCAATAATCAACTTATCTCACATTGAAGGATTCAACGTACGGAGCTTGGTTCTGAGGTGAGTGGCTTGCGGCCAGGCTTCTTAGGCGCCTTATCGGTGCTCTCGCGGCGCTTGGCACTCTTGCCTTCATCCTCTTCATCCTCCTCGGGGTAGCTTCGTTTCTCATTCGATTCATTCGCATCACCATCAGATGATTCCGATTGAACAGTTTCCGGGGCGTCTGCCAGTGTGTGGGCAGTTTGGTCACCGTCCGCAAATGAGAAATCGAAGCTGGAATCGGCAAAGTCATAGTCATAATTACCATACATGAGCGAGTTATCAGTGAAGCCCTGGGCGCCGCCGAGGCCCTGCTCGGGCTCGCTCTTGAAGGGCTTGGGGGTCGCAGCAAGACCGGGGCCGCTAGACGAGCCAGACAGTTGAGGATTGTTGGAGTTAAGAGCAGCGAAGAGAAGACTCTGCTGCTGAGGAGTCAGGACAAAATTTGGCGGCAGAGAGCCACCGGAGCCGGCAGAGGCCATCGCGAGTAGGTCTGGTGTTTGTTTGAAATCGAAGAGTAATCGAGGGGGGCAATTCTGGTCGAGGGCGAATCGAGGCAAGCTTCTCAGGCTGCCAAGCGGTACGAATGTCGGAGCTTCGGAGTTTAGTGCGAAAACCCCGGGATTCGCACGGAACAGAGTTGTCGAGTGGCGAGCAGCGACAGACAGGATTGAATGTCTTGGGCCAAGGCTCGCTCAGTCAAACGAAAAAAATGTTTGAATGGGCGGTTGATGGTGGAGGAGAGAGAGGCTGGGAGGTGGCAACTGCCCTCGGTGGAATGACAAGAGCGGAGCGTGTAATCGGGCTCCCCCGCAGGGCGCAGAGGTCGGCCAGTGGTTTGCACGATGCGGTGGTGTGGTGCATGCACTAACAGCACCTATGCTCCCGCCGTTTCGAGCCGGCAGACTGGGCAGAGGGTTCAAGGGGTGCGGCAGTGCGTCAGGCGGAAGGGATCCCAGGATTCAGGGTGCGTGAGAAAAATGCTTCGCAGTGCCCTGGCGTTCTAGTTGATTCTCCGGCGTGGAAGCGCTTCTCGCAGCTGGGCCTATGGCTGAAGGAGGGGTGGCCTGCGGCGATGGAGAATGAGGTGTTCCAAGCTGAATTTGTCAGCGGTCAGACGAGACCAAACGGATTCGGGGTGCGGGGCTGTCTGGACTCCACCGTCGCAGCGCAGTACCGGAAGATGCCTGGTTTGTACCTTCCTATCTCTGGTGCCTGCACGGCCGGTCATGCAAGTCGCCCTGCTACTGGCGCAGGCACCATCGAGCGAGGTAGAGGGGTACTTGGCGGGCAAGGACGGCCCTTCTGCCGCTAGTCCAATGAGTCAACCGTGAGTAAACGTACTCTTGCAGCTGCTGTTTCTGAACGAAGGCGTATGCTCAAGCCGGCCAGGTCCCTCCCTTGACCGAATCCAAAGCCGAGAGCCTGCATCCCCACTCGTCATCGCTGAGCCGATTGGTAAGGATGTAACATTATGGCACCAAGCTTTCGGGAGTCGCTATCACCCCTAATCAATCAGCCAATCAGTCCATATCCCCACGTCACGCCTGCCAAACAGCTTGCCACTGGCCGCGGTTTGTCCTGTGTCAACGTTCATCCAAGGGGATTCCAGTGCCAAACATCCCAGGATCCCGGGGAGTCCGGAAGACGTTTAATACAATATATCGCCACTATGGAATTACTCTAATCTATGGGGCGTTATGCTAAACAATGTCGAATGCGTCTCGGGAAGTTAGAAAGCCACCATTATGACATGATAGCCTTCTTTTCGTTAGGATATTATGTAAGAAACTCAGGTGACAATTCGTAGAACTTGTAGCCTTGGCCAATCATATCGCCTCATCCTCTTCTTCATTTGAGTTGATTCCAACTCAGCTTCAGGACAGATGTTTGAGATTTAGTGAAGCCTGGGATTTGTATGTTGAGTTGGTCTACGACATGGGGCGATGGGCAGCATTCACTAAAAAATGGAACTGGGAAGAAAGTTTTGGTATTGTATAATTTCATTCGCTCAATTGATTAAACTTGATAGATCATTGTCAGAAAGATGTACAGTTTCTAAAGTCTGTTTCTCTTTGCCGAGCATTATTCCACCTAGTAGGCCTCATTATCTAGATGTTTAGGCCTTGGCGTACTCCTTGTGGGCCTCAGCCTTGCCGTTGTGAGCGGACTCGTCAATCTTGTCACCAAGAGCATCCTTGGCAGCAGTGACACTATTAGAGATTTCATGTTAGAAATATTTGTTTCATAGTGTGATAAGTGTAAAGGAAGGATTACTCACCGAGTGCCAACGTTGACGTTGTTGTCCTTGGCAATCTCCTTGTTGGTCTCCTTGCTGGCACCAGAGACGGCACCCTGGACGGTCTCAGCGACGTAGTTAACACCCTGCTTGATGGACTCCATTGTGAATGTAGAGGTGGTTGATTGGGTTGAAAGTTGTGTGGTAGTGGTTATGATTGTGTGATTGTGAGTGAGTTGATGACGAAAAAAGTGTGTCATTGACGGGAGAACACCACGTTTATATACACGATTTGGCGGCTTCTCAAGATTCCCATGCTCGATCAATCGAATACACGTGAAGTTCGTCGTCATCGAAGCTAAGAAGTCGTTTCTGTTAGTGCACTGCCCAAGGCATGCCAAAAACCCTATCGTGATCTACTATCTCCATCGATTGGAATGTATTATGATCTGAGGCCACTCGAAATCCGGCGTTTGTGACGTCAAGACTTTTGACCATTGCCGCAGAGGCCAACGCTGAAAGACTCTAGCAAAGTCCAATCAGGGACCGTGTTCAGCCCTTACGTCACTGAGATCCCACCATGGTGGGGCAGCAATTGAGGGACGGGACTGACCTCGCCCAGAAGCACTGGGGTCTGGCGGAGGATCTACTCCCTTCCCCAAGGCCCGTTATGCAGCGCACGATCGGAACTGGGAATCCATGTTGCCGACTTTCTGACCGTAAGCAAATACTTTCCCGCCGAGAGCGATTGGGCTGTCCTAAGAGGTAGCATCAGGTAGGGTGCTCAATTCATTCGTGTACGAAGCAGCCGTAGAAGGACACCTGTTCTGCGGCGCCACTAATACGACCTCGGCAGAGGGGATAGCCAAAGTTTGTGACGAAAGTCCCAGCCCCCAACAGATCTCCCGGCCCCCCTTGGATTAGCATAAGGTGAGGTACACTAAGTTCACGAGGTCAGGCACAGCGGGAGTTGGTGGCACTGCATTTCGCATTCATTCACGCGGGGCGGCTTAAGTGGTTCCAATTGCTAAATCCGCCAATAGTGCAATACTAAGGCGGTGGAGCATCGCCATAAGCAGCGTTTGTCGGCCCTGATCGGGAGCTGCCTCAGCGAAGTCATCCGTGCACCAAATATCGATGGAACAGGCCAATGCTCTCCATTATTCTCAGCCATCTACGTAAGTAAGCATATGATGCCTCAGATTTCCAGGTACCATCGACAACGATGTCATTTTGCAGGAACCTTGTTCCGTTGGGCCAAGATCTCTTTCACTTGGGTTAGACTCTCAATTGAACCAATTCAGGTACATAGAAGACCAACAGGATGATGACATCAATCAACTTTGTCCCGGCTGAAGACGGGACGGTTCTGGATGGGGATCTGGAAAACATGCAATGTCTCAGCTGCGATTTTTAGTATTGAACACCGAGAACAGCATGGCCATCTATGTTTACCATGCAAGCGACTGACATCACACCCACCTAGAACCTCTAGCGTTGAATTTGAACACGATATCAAAACAATTAACCTAGTAATAAACACAATACTAAGCTAAATAGTGTTGATAATTTATTCCTTTTTTAATTATCATGCTCAGTATTGTTGATAAGAAAACAAGGTCGCTGCCTTGTGTGAAAAGACCTTTAGTCTTGCCATGATGATCTCGCCGCAGGCCGCTAAGCTCCAATCACACCAAGCCCTGTGCCTCGTTTCGCTTCCATCTTGGTTTTGAGAATTTGAAAATCGTGAGGCCAGATCATCCACCACCAGAACCGTAATAGACGCAAGAGGGGTAATTCTGACTGGTTCAACGGTGTTGAGTTTCTCTCTCCAAGTGATGAGCAATTAACCTAGTACAACGAAGACAGTATAGCCGCCAATATCATTACGTTTCCGACTTTTCCTTCCATTTTTGAAACCAAAGCTTGTTCCTCGAAGCAGCCATGTTACAGCTCTGAAGAAAGTCACGTGCCTACCTAGGTCGGAACAGGTAGCCTCTGTAGTCAGCCCCACTAGCCCCGCGGGCCTTTGGTTGGGTGCTTACCACCGCTCTCAGGAGATGACCGCTCTTGTCCGCCGGGCACAAGCTCATGACTTAGCTGTACACTAGGCTCGCAGCCAGCTCTCGTACATTGCTCCTTGAGACCCTCGACAGAGGAATTTCCAAAAGCAGCCATGGATCTCGCCTACGATCACATCCAGGAGGACCCCAACGCCAAGGATCAAGGTGCCGCAGGCGAGGGTTCCAAGTCCGACCAACCCCAGCCGTCGCTGAACAGCGAGATTCAAGATGCATACAAGGCCTTCTCGAATAGCCCCTGGGGTTCCCGGATTGGTGGGTTCCTTGGCAATGTAGTTAAGCAGGTAAGGGCACGATAATCGCAGCCTCCGCCTTTGCAGCTGTTCTAACGTCCGAAGGGTGGTGATGTATACACGCAGGCCTCTAAGGAACTGGCCGAGGTCAGGGAAGACGCAACCAAGGGACTCTCCGACCTCCAAAAGTCCATCATCGAGCAGACACGACACATGACCGTCAAGGACGTAACCCTGAGCTCAGATGTGCTGGAGGAGAACAAGGATGACGCAGCACAGTCCAGAGATCTTCCATCCGATGGCCAGCCCAGCGAAACGATGCTTTCCCGCCTTAGAGCGGAGGCAGCCAAGCGCCTGAAGGATCTCCAGCGAGCAGAAGACGCAGCGGACGAGGCCCTATTCCGGTTCGGCGGTAATGTTCGCGATTTCTTACGAGACGCCGTTAGCATTGCACCCAGCGACGGTACCGAGGGTGGAAGTACCGTACTTTTCGAAAGCAAGGATTCCAAGGGGAAGCGGGTTTTCCACACTTCACGATTCGATGCACAGCTTCATGTTATTCACACCACTACGGACGGGTTCCTCAAAGATCCTGCGGCAAACGAATATGATATCTGGACAAAGGAATTCGATGTCGAGAAGAAGACAGGTGACATCAGCAACGACCTTACGAAATACCCTGAGCTACGGACCACGATGGAGAAGCTCGTCCCAGATCAGATCCCATATGCTGATTTCTGGAAGCGCTACTACTATTTACGACATGGAATTGAGACTGCCGAGGCTAGACGAAAGGATCTCCTGAAGGGTGAGTTTTTCTTTTGATTCAAAAATAGAGGCCTGCCACTAATATATCTATAGCTGCGGCAGCTGAAGACGAGGTTGGCTGGGGCGATGATTCGGATGACGAAGAGGAGGATGACGAGAAGGAAGATGCCAAGAAGGAGGTGTCCAAGAAGGAGGATGCCAAGAAGGCAGAGCCTAAGAAGGAAGAGCCCAAGAAGGAGGATGCCAAGAAGGCTGTTCCCAGCAAGCCAGTTGCTAAAGAGGAGTCCTCCGACGAGGATTCTTCTGAAGAAGATTCTTCCGAAGAGGAGTCTTCCGACGATGATGAACCCCCCAGGCCCAAAACATCAGGTTCTGTCGCGTCCTCGAGAACCATCCAACCCACCCCGAAGGGTCCATTGAAGGCAGCCGCACCTCGCAACTCACACGACGAGAAATCCCAGGCCGATAGCGAAGCAAGTTACGACGTGGTTGGCGCGGCATCTGGTAAGACCAGCCAGGCCCCCAACAGTCCCAAGGACGCGAAGAAGGCAGACGACGACGACAGTGATGATGACTGGGAGTAAATGTATATAGCCGACAAAATCGCTAAGCGTCTCTCACGAGGGGGCGCTCTTCTGCTGTTGGTGTCTTTGGCGTTCGGTCTTTGGGATTCGTATTTGAGCCGCTCTCATTCGAAAGCATTCCGTTTCTGAGAGCTTGGGTATAGTGGATATCAATTGTTTTTCTAAATTCTTAAGAGATCTTTTCTCTCTGCACGCCCATTTGACAAGCCCTTGTACAACCACCTTTTACCTCTTTCTCGTGACCTTTGTGAATCCGTCTTCATCAACCTCGGGGGCTGGCTTCTCCTTGCGGACAGGAGGAGCATCGCCCATAGTGACGTCGGCGCCGTCGCCGTCCTCCTCGTCGTCACCTGAATCATCACTCTCCCAATCTGTATCTTGGTCTGCATCTTCGGCCTTCTTGAACAGCTGATCGACCTTCTTCCCTGAGCGATTCGTAAATCGTTCCCTGAGGCTGTTGTATTCGTCAAACACTCCAATGGCGCACTGCGCGCGGGCGCGCATGATCTGAGTGGCGACGTCGACTCCTGAGTCGTCATCCACGTTGACCTCGAACTCGTCCACCATGACCTGAAGCAGCACAGTCTCGACGTCCTCCATGTCCGGCTCTTCGGGAGCGTTGGTCTTCTTGGAAGTCTTCTCGTCGGGAGTCGCATCGGTGAATTCGGGGAATAGGTCAACGATGGCGCCGGCAAACCAGTCTCGCTTGTCAGAGGAGTCGGGGCCTCCCCAGTTGTTCTGCACCGAGAGCGTGAGGGCCGGCCAGAGATGGAGGGCGTAGACGACGGCCTGCTCGAAGTTGTTCTGGCGAACTCCTAGGACTATGGTTAGATCATGACGGCTAAATTCATCAAAACCAAAATCAAGTTGCGTATTCACATACCCGCGGGAGGGAGTTCGCTGGGTGCTTCTGAGGTCGCCATGCTGCCCAGTTCAAGAAGAGCGTATGCTGGTTATGTGGTGGGGTGTGGTTGGCTCTTTGGAGGGGCACATCTCGAGATAACGACTTTTTTTTCCTCCGTTGTGCACAAAATTCTGGTGGTCCGCTTCCATTGGCTATTTGCCTGTACTCCGTTAGCGAGGTCCCCTGTAACTATTATTCCTAGCAGGGGGATACACTGTAATACGTCCCCGCGTGGACCCGGTTTGGTGAACGGGATGTGGCCATCTCCGTTTCGGGATGGTGGCTCCCTCAATCCCGCCCTTGGTAAGGGACTGAGTCCATTCCAACACCGCTGGCCAGGGGTCTCGCCCATCATGACATCATGAGACCTCTTCTGCCAGTGATCCACGTTGATGGCTGGTTTGGGACTTAGACGAACACTACTTCTTGGATGGTGACCGCTTAGGCACGTTTTCTTTAAACTTTCCTCTCCGTCCGTCGTCCTAGTTCAGGAGAGCTTCGCATCGGCCCCTGAGTGACTGAGCCATGTCAGCATAAGCCCATCATGAACATCACCAAACTTAGCACTACCTCTGTTGGATTCGCGGTCACCCCAACCGTCATCTCGACTCTCTTCTCTCATGTATGTTCAATTGGATTGTCCATGGCTCATCTAGAGCCTACCGAATGCTAACGATACTTCCCTAGTATGTGAATAGGGCGCCACTCAAGGAGCGTCCAACCGCTCATTTGTCCTACGATGAAGGGCTGCATTTGATCCGCGCGTTCCTCGAGTTCGCGTCGCATCACACCATTGATGAGTTACAGGCTTTCACCTCCCAATGGGTTCCTCATCCCCAATGGGTCAAGGTGGAGGACCTGACCATCGCGGATGATCATCTCAGCAAGGCCGCCTCCTTGCTCAAGGAGCAGCTTGGTCCGGACGGGATCAAACAGGTTGGCGGCGGCGAGTGGTGGCAATGGAGGAAATCGAAGTCACCGCTCCAGGCCGAATGGATTGAGATGCGTTCAGATGCAAATGAGCGGAAGAAGGGGCTCAATTCTGGAAAGCGCGTGATGCTGTACATTCACGGCGGCGCATATTTCTTCGGCAGCGTGGATGAGCATCGGTATCAGATGCAGCGCCATGCACGGAAGCTCAAAGCCAGAGTCTTGGCCCCGAAATATCGGCTTGCTCCCCAGTTCCCATTTCCCTGCGGGCTACAGGACTGTATCGCTGCCTACCTGCATCTTCTCACCGTGCAAGACCCAAGTGAGATAGTATTAGCAGGGGACTCTGCCGGCGCCGGTATGGTCGTGTCTCTGCTGTGCGTTCTCAGGGACCAGAAGATCCCGCTCCCTGCCGGCGCTATTCTTATCAGCCCTTGGGTCGACTTGACTCACTCCTTTCCTAGCGTTGGTGACCCGGCGCCTATGGACTATATCCCCCAATATGGCTTTCACCATAAGCCCTCGAAAGCGTGGCCTCCGCCAAACGAGGATGATTTGGTAATGCTGCGGCGGGAAGCTGAAAAGGTCAAAGAAGGCTCAAAAGCAGCCGGGAAGACAAAGCTGGAAGAAAAGCAGCAAGATCCTGTGGCGCCTACCAGGGAGGACGCGAGCGACCGAGCCGCAACTGGCGGGCTTGTCACGGATACTACCAAGTTTCTTTCCGTGACAATTGATGGGGAATTGGTCAGGCTCAAGGACCAGATCCAGGTAAATGAATCTTGGCCTCCGTCCTGGGATACATTAGGATGCTAACCGTTTGATTTCAGATGTATGCTTCCAACGAATTGCTTGCGCACCCACTTGTAAGCCCTATCATGCAACCTACCCTCGGTGGGCTACCGCCGCTGCTGATCATGGTGGGAGGAGGCGAAATCCTCCGGGATGAGCAAATCTATCTTGCGCACAAGTGCGCCAATCCCCAGAAATACGCTCCTCCTGCTGAGAAGCTGGATGCCAAGGGGAGGGAGCGGCTTGCCATGTACAAGCCAACCAATGTACAGCTCCAAGTCTGGGAGGATCTCTGTCATGTTGCCCCGACGCTGAGCTTCACCCGCCCTGCCAAGTATATGTACAGATCCGTAGCTCAATTTGGAGCCTGGGCTCTGGCCAGAGCACAGAAAACGAGCATTGAAATCTTGGATGATGATGACATCTCCATCATCTCTAGCTCCGATACTCGCTCAGACGATGAGGCTTCGGATGAGGAGGACAACAACGGGACTCCAGGGAATCCCTCTGGTAAGGTTGGGAAGGCCGGCGATCCCCTCCCGCCGTTCAAGAACCACATGATTCGTCAAAGAGTCACACGACACGGCGCTACACATCCCTTAGCGTCAGAATCAGAATTACCAGCTTGCAATATCCTACCGGAACTTGTCGGAATTATCAAGGAAGGCCAGGTAAAGAAGTGGCTAAATGCCAAGCGCCAATGGGACAGCAAGTATGCAGCTACCAAGGCAAAGGTTCATAAGGGACTCATCAAGGACATGGCGGCCGGATATGAGAATCCATTCCCGGAAGATAATCCACCTCCCACCGCACTTGCCGGCCGTATCAGGAAAGATTATAAGGAGAAGGAAAGTAAGAGAGTCAAGAGTCTCGGATTGGCTCTCTGGTCAGTCTGGGGCTCCAAGCACGACGAATCAACCGTGGGCCGAGAGCTCAAGGCCAACCTGGCAGACCTCAAGGCTGAAGCGAAACTGGCTTCTCCCCGTGCACAGAAGAGTATGCCATCTCCATCTGATGCTGAGTCTCACGAACCTCTTCCATCCCCATTATCTGATGGAAGGCCTAAAAGCTCGTCGCACCAGAAGGTGGTGGTTGATGAACACCAGGTTGAACCATCCCTGTCTCGGGAACAAACGCTCGTATCGGGGCTCATTGCTAAGCGCAAGGAGGAGGAGACAACTTCCAGCCTACTCAGCGTACCCATGGGCACTGGTGCTACAGGCAAACGACCGCACCTGGATGGTATAGCGATGCCGTTTAGTCTCGGAAAGGAGGCCGAAACTGCGAGCATGATGACCCTGCACTCAGATTTGAGTCCCCGAAGTTCAAGGGATGGTCTATCAAGCTTAGCGGGCGTTCAAGGAGCAGCCAATGAAGAACCAATAATCAAGGACGAGCCGAAACGGCCTGACCTGGATACCTTTGTGACTGCGCCGGAGGTTCTCACCATCCCCACCATTGAAAACGGACACGCCAAAATCCCAGTCGCTTAATAGCAGTTTCCTATATTTATTCAAAGCATCCATTGTACCAGCGCATTATATCCTTGCAAGAAAGCACACGCCTGTTTATTCCATTTATATTTATTTCATAGCAGTTTGTGTCTAGTCCAGGTGCCATCTGAGTGGCCAGATAGTAATACACCCAAACCTCTTTGAACTTTTAGTTTATTGTTACATGATAATACACTCTTCTCTGCCTGTCCACTATCGCAAATATATGTGATGCGACTTTCTCCCAGAAAAACAAAATCCACCCGTGTATAAAAATTCGCCCAGCTCCGTATATGCCAAGATCGTGACTCTTCATTTCCCGGGCATTAATTTCCCCAGAGACTTGGTTCGACTCGGAAACCATCATCAGCTCGATCATCGTTCCGCACGCGAAGAATTCTTAGTCGATGCCGTTGAATCGCTTCCACTGCTCCACGTAGAAGTAAGGGTCCGAGGCACCCTTAGACAGGCCCTTGTAGTCGCCGGGCTTCTGCTTGATCTGCTTGCTCACGAATGGCTTGAGCTATAGAGAGAGATCCGGGGCGGTTAGCAAGGGGCAAAACATTGAGGGCGACTGTGCTGGAGGATTATGGTGGCCGGGGTCCTTTCTGGAAGATTTGCATGCATACCTCGAATTGCGGTAAGTCCTTGGGCACGACGTACGTGCGGACCTTGTTCCACTCGATAACGTATCCTCCGTACTTTGTGTGTCGACCCATCGAGCCGGTGCGGTTTCCCTTGTAGAAGCCGCGGCCGACATCCTTGGTGGTGAGCTTGAGGTGGCGGTACTTGCCGACCATCAGAGCTTGGGTTGGCCTCATAGTTTCTGGTCGGTCGAGGGCCTGCAGTGTCGAGTCGAGAATTGGATTGGCGATTGGGGAAGACAAACGGAGGGAGGAGTAGTCGCTGGTGGCGGCTTGTCGACTGATGCTCCAAAATTGATGGTTCGTGATGGAGATCAAGAACATTTGCGGTTGACGGATAAGTCTCGGGTATTTACCGATAGGCAGATAACGGCCCAAGTGTCATTCTTGCACTCAATTATAAACTGTTGTTCTTCATTCCATGTATTCTGACAATTCTTATTAATTTGGGTTCAGGCATCAATCATCATGTAAAGTCCTAGACATATCTTCAGTATCAAATGGGTAAGTGCAGATTACTAGGCAGTTGCCATGATCTCGGTGTTTAGAGGCTGATTCAGACCCTAGCCCACTTCATGGGTGTATATAGTAGATGGTCAAGGAGCGTAGGTAGAAACTCGCGATTTGTTATTCGTTCTAATACTATCTCAACTGGTTCAAATTCTTCTGATTTGCCCGTAAGCTTTCCGATGTCATACAGAGCTGTCAACGAACGATTGAAGCCTTGACAGTCTCTTGGGGCGGGGCAGTTTGAAGACTCAGAGGTGAGCGCCACAGCTCGCTCCACTATTACCCTTCCACCTACGGCCATGATCGCGGCCAGTTGCGAGTACGACCAACTACACAACAATCGACGGCGACTGGACTAGGCTTCGCGCATGGTGGCATACCTCAGGCGTCTGTCTCCCTATATCATCCACGAATACAGAGGACCTGAATCAAGCGGAAGGGGCCTCGAGCTTCCTGGCCACCTCGCGAATTGTCGACTCGTTGATCCATGTCGCATCGCAACCGAAGAGCACATAGACAGCTCCGATAGCTGGCCAGCCGTTGCTTCCAGCTGCAGTTGATACCTGTCTACCCTGCCTGTCCCTACCGGTAGCCGACTACGAACCTTTCGTCTCCTATTTCGAAAACTCATGCCTCGACCACCCTCGGCACAGTCACATCATGGACGGATATCCTCTGGGCAGCCTGGACCATAATGTCCCATACCTCCTCGTGTCCGGCCTCACGACCTCGAACTCCGAGCTCCCTCTGCAAGAGAATCTCAAATATGAAAGGAAAATATTGCTGAAATCCAAGCTGCCCGCTGCAGAGGGACCGGATGCCAAAGCGTTGGCCAGATACTTCCAAGCAGTCGACGAACAGGGAAAATCATGGGCGGCCGTAGGGAGCAAAACACCATATAGATTTCGCATCAAAAGCGTTGGCAGGGTATGGCAACCATCGCCGAAACAAAGCTCCCAGTCAGCGTTGAGCTCTGCTAACCTTGCCCCAGACTATCCCACTCCCCCCACGACAAGCGCGGCTCCCTGAGAGGACCGAAACCTTGGAATCGCACCATATCCTTCATTCACCTTTCTCGCCGCTCAGCCCCGTGTCATCTCTCTACCCCGATGGCTTAATCGATGCGCAATGGGTCAAGAAGCACCAGGAATTAGTGCCGAGTGTCCTGCTCTGCTTTTATACGCTCACGACCGACCCCACGACGACTACATTACGAGACAATGAACTCAAGAATGATATTGGGGAGCTGAAAGCTATGCTGGCCAAGTCTGGGTACAAGACTAGGCTAGCTGTCGCTCTGATAGCAGAGCCAGACAGCACAGCATCATCACTGGCAACGGGTCTCCAGGACCGGCTGGAAAATATCCGAAGGGGCGCTACACTGGATCCCAAGTCGCTCTTTTATATTCCTCCACAGGACTCCGACAGCGAATTGCGGGGCGTCGTGGATAGCGTATTGACAACCCTCTATGGCAGTGCGGTGGAATACTACCGGGACCTGGCGAGACATTCCAGGAAAAAGCGATCCAGGGGAATAGCTCCTCCGCCAACAGTTCCTCCAACTACAGGGACTTCGCGGACCTTGTCTATCCCAGACTGGAACCTAAGATATGATGTCAAATCCGGTGTCTTCGCCGAGTTCCGCCAAGAGTACGATGCTGCCGTCAGATTCTACGAACAGGCCTATGGGACTCTGCTAGGCCAGGACGTTCTTGATGTGATTCCCAGTTGGAGCCCAAGATGGAACGAAGCGCGGCTGCTCTCCGATGTAATTTCGATACGGTGCCTAAGAGTTCATTTTTGGATGGGTATGACCAGCCTTGCTGTGAAGCGGTGGCAGGCTCATCGCGATAATATTCAAGATTTCGTTGACCGTCGCGGCCACGGAACAGCCAACTACGGATGGCAAGCCTGGGAAGCACGCTGGGCAATGGTCATGGCGGATTTGATCGAGAAGATCCAGATACCCGGGCTGACCAACCCATCACCATCGGTGTTCTTACCCCCTGACCGATCCATGATGGCTGAACGTATCAACCCATGGGAGCATCTTCACCACCGGGGTTACTGGTATAGAATAGCGGCTCGCCATCTTGGTTTCAGGAGGAGGCTAGCGCACAGTATTCCAGATGATGATAGAGTCCCGCCCGAGGATCCTACGGTCAAGGAGAAGTTCGGGTACGACACATATCTATGCCCCAAACCTTACGAGGAGCATCCATTGCGTGGCCACGGCGTGAACCACTCGCAATTGATCATCGATTGCCTCATAAAAGCACAGACACAGTTTCAATCCCGAAACCAAACACGCACAGCTGCCGAAATATCCATTGAGTGTGCCAAGGAGATGGCCAGCACAGGGTCGTGGCAAGATGTGCTCTCCGTGCTACGCCCGCTATGGGAGGAATCATCCTTCAGATCCGGAGGTTGGGTAAATATTGCCGAGGACTTTGCTTGGCTTCTAAGACGTGCCGCAGTAGACGAGGGTGAGGGCGATTTGGTTGTGGCTATTGATTGGGAGTTAATGCACAAGAGTGAGCACAGCATACCCCCCATACTTTTCCCCCAAAGTCACTAACGGGCGATTTTAGGATACACCCAAAGACCAAACTGGCACTACGACCTCTCCAAGTCCCTAGAAGAGACAACCTGCTCGTCTAAACCCGAGGTCAGAATATCAGATGACCAAGTCGAGGCACCCATCGTGGCCGGATGGGCGTTTATGGGGAAAGAGAGCAGGGCTGGTGAAACCTGTGTTGCCCAACTATCGCTCAAGTCTGAGGCGTTCTCAAATGCCGCGCCTTTGACATTCAAGTCCTTGAGAATCGAGTTTGACGGGGCGCTGAAGCCAATTGTACTAGAACACTTGCCTTCCGAAGAAAAGTCCAAGGGCAAGGTCAGCCTTAACGCCTTGACTCTTGAGGAGGTCTTCGATACCGAGTCTGGAGACCTCCCTACTATGCTCAAAGGACAGACCGACCTCACCTTGGCTCCGGGTAATACACTTGTCGTTGAGATGGTAATCGCCCTTCGGGAAGCCGGAGAAGTCACATCGTCTACACTCCAATTGAATTACAGCGCCGAAAGTTTCGATCTATCATACACCATGGACCTCGGGGATTTGAGGAACCCTGCTGGCTGGTACACCAAGGGCCACAATGCACCCCGATACATCCGTGCAGAATCTCACATGCTTCATGTCCAGCCTCGCCCGCCCAAGCTGGAGATCAAGTATCTCAACTCCTCCAGCCAATACTACGTTAGCGAGCCCATCAAGCTTCGCGTCCAACTAGTTAACGGCGAGGACGAGTCGGTGAGCGTCAAGCTGGACGCTCACCTCTTCGGAAAGGTCGTCCCGGCCTTTACGCTTAAAGCCAACGGAGAGGAGCAAAAAATCGAAAGTGCGGAAGAAGAGGCAAGGCTCACCGAGTTCCCCATCGGCGACCTCGCGAGTTCATCCTCCCTGGACGTCATGCTCACAATCGATCCCGCAGAGGAACCTACCTCGTACGACCTGCATCTACGGGCGTCGTACCACCTCGACTCCGATGCGGCAACGCCCATCACGCAGATGCTCCCGCTCCAGCTCACAGTCGTGAACGCATTCGAGTCCAACTACGATCTGAATCCCAGGCTGCACCCGGACCCATGGCCGAGCTTATTCGACTGCGACACCATCAGCAGCTCGCCCGACATCTCAGAAGACACACCCACCCCGTTCAGAGGCCTGTCCCAAAGCTGGTGCCTCATGTGCCACTTCGCCTCATTCGCCCTCCACGATCTCAAGATTGTCGGGATGGAGCTCAAGGTGCTCTCCAACCTGAAGAACGCCCGGTGCGAGATCGTGAAGCAGGCCGAGACGCCAGGGGACGGGATCCTCGTCGCGCCCAAGACGATGCACGAGGCGCGCTTCGACCTCGTCACCCAGAAGGTGAGCCTCGACGACCGCCACCCGGTCCCGCTCGAGCTCGGCTTCGTGATCCAGTGGCAGCGCCAAGAGACGGACGACGAGGACGACGGCGCCGGGCCGATCAACACGACGACCATGTACGCCGGCAACTACCTGGTGCTCGGCTCGGAGCCCCGCGTGCTGGCGTCGGCCTCGGAGATTGACATGGGCAAGGCCATGCGACTACTACTGCTGGACATCACCATTGAGAACCCGTCTAACCACTTCCTCACCTTCGGCCTGAACGTAGAGCCCAGCGATGAGTTTGCATTCTCTGGTGCTAAGCAGACCACGGTGCATCTCCTGCCGCTATCCAGAAGGGCGCTGACCTACCGACTATTACCGCTGGTGAGAGGGGACTTCATCCGGCCCGGGATCCTCGTGCGCGACAAGTACTTCCAGAAGACGTTGCGGATTATTCCGACGGAGGGTATGAAGATAGACAAGGATGGACTACTGGTATGGATCACCCCTATGGAGGGTGAGGGTGAGGAAGGCAAGGCAGCTGTCGAAGTCGAAGACGACGACGATAAATCAGGGGATTCGGAAGTATAATAGCCTTCATGAGCATACACAAGCAGCAAATGCAAAAGACAATTTAAAGTAAACTACAATTGGATGAGCGGCGTCGGTACAGAGGGATGGGATAGGCAGCGGCTAATGCATCAGTAGCTGAATGCGGAATGTAAATCTAGATAGAAAGTGGGATTTTCCCGACCGTCTTTGTGATGAGAGTGTAGGCATCATCGACCCCCGGGCCTTTCCAATGCCCGGATCGATTGCCAGCGCAGACCCCATAATCTGCATAATCCTGGCGCCTCACACAGGGGGCCGTCGTAAAGGTCGCTTTCTCAGTTTCTCTGACAGGGAGGGTCAGGTGCACGCAGAAACACTCTTTGGCAGATAGCGTATGCCCCGATACCCAGGAGAGGAGGGCGAGATCGTCATGGGCACCGTCTGGGTGGTGCACCCGATCACAACAAGCTCGGGCACACCAATTCAAGCATACTAGCAGCCGCATCTTTTGTGGGACGAGAGCAAGCGGCCGTGAATCCATGCACCGAGCCCCAGAGCAAGTTTCAGAAATTAATAAGCTCTCCAAGGGTTGCGCAAATGCAAGAAGAGCGAAGTCCGAGGGCGAGATTAACAGGATGGAGATAATAAGGCTGAAATAACTGGAGCTGGAACGAAGCGTTTGCCGAGCTCCACAAGCTTCTCCACCTGCAAGGCAAAGTCATGGACATGCCTCCCATGTTTGTCCTGTTTAGCGAGTCCCGGTGGCTCTCGCTTTTGCATTTTGTGCGTATTGATGATATTGCCCCCTATTCTTGCGAACGAGTAGCTGGCTGGTTGTAGTCGTGTGCAGTGAGGCCTTGAGAACAAATATCGTCCGAGGGCATCGATGTCTGAACACACAGACCTGCTAGCTTCTGGACAAAGAGCACTAGTAGCAACCGTATACTGGTCAATTAAACGATCCGCTTCACTAGCATCACATTGACTCATATCGACCAAACGAAGCTGACGACAAAGGGAGGTGATTGGGCGCCACTAATATCTCGGACGTCGGACTCATCCACACCATCCCCGTAGGCAGAAACCCACTACGGCGTTTGGATCCTCCCAGACCAGATCGCTGAGGGCTCGAATCGACCCGTGGGTTGCTATCGTTGGGATGTCCATTTGCTAGCTCCAAACGCTATTCGGGACAAATTGCCGGCCGGCAGACAAAAATGTTCCTGAGAAGCGACTGCTCTGGCTGGGCCATGCGGACTTAGGACCGAGTTAGGCTTCTAAAGCCATGGCCCATATGGTTGCTAGACCCGTCCGTTTTTGCTTGTTTTGCTGTTAGCTTGGCTCTCCAAACCAAGATGGTTCTATATATATGACGGGAAGAAGCGTGTGAGCTACTCCCCTTGACATCCAAGTTTCTCCCATAGCCGCCAATCTTATCTCATATTCCGACCGGTTGCTTCTGCCCTGTTATATCGAAACAACCAACTCCATTGTCTCCAGCATGGTCGGCTCGACAACGGATGATCGTAGTGATCATCTCTCCGTGGAAAAGGCGAACAAGACGGCGCCGCCAGAGACCATTCAAGAGAATGAGCCCAGCAATGATGAAAACGTTGTATATCCAACAGGAATCACGCTCATTCTGATCATCACCTCTCTGTGTTTGGCCGTTTTCCTTGTAGCTCTGGATCAAACAATCATCGCCCCAGCTCTTGGAGCCATCACAGCCGAGTACAAGAGTGTCAAAGATATTGTAGGTCAACGAGATATTTCTATCCAGTTTGGTTTGGCTAACACGGATGACTTCCCAGGGATGGTATGGCTCTGCATACCTGCTCACAACGACTGCTTTGCAGCCCATGTACGGAAATGTCTACAAGCTGTTCAACGTCAAACTGGCGTACCTCGCTGCAGTCTTCATTTTCGAAATCGGTAGTCTGGTTTGCGCTGTCGCCCCCAGCTCGACAGCGTTCATTGTTGGACGTGCCATTGCCGGCATTGGAACAGCTGGTCTGTTCTCTGGGTCCATTGTCATCCTGTCTCTCTCAAGTATGTACTCTGCCGACTAACCTTCCCTCCCCAATGCTAACTGTTTCGACTTCTAGTGCCACTGAACCGCCGTCCCCTCGCTTTTGGTCTCATTGGTGGTATGTGGGGTATCGCTTCAGTTGCTGGTCCCCTGCTTGGAGGTGCTTTCACTGAGAATGTCACCTGGCGCTGGTGTTTTTACATCAACCTCCCAATCGGCGGTCTCGCGATGGTCATCGTCTTCTTTTTCGTCCGTGTCACCCGCAACACTGCTGATACAGTCGGCCAAACGTTCCTTGGCCGCTTCAGACAACTGGACATCTCCGGAACTGCCATCTTTATCCCAGCCGTCATCTGCCTCCTTCTTGCTCTTCAATGGGGAGGTGCCGAGTACCCATGGAAAAGCGCTACCATTATTGGTTTGTTCTGTGGTTTCGGCGCCATGATTCTCATCTTCATTGGCATTCAACTTTGGCAGCAGGACCGTGGCACCCTTCCCCCTCGGCTTTTCAAGAACAGAAACGTCTTCTTCGCCATGATGTTCGCCATGTTTTTTGGTGCCGGCTTCTTCCCGCTCATCTACTATCTATGTAAGTTCATTGTGCCACAATCGATGGGGTTTCCTATATTCTAACCAAGAACAACAGCTCTTTACTTCCAGGCAATTCAAGGTGTCAGCGCTGTCCAGGCGGGTATTAAGATCCTGCCTCTACTCCTCTCAACTGTGCTCATCTCCATCGTATCCGGCGGTCTCATCACAGTCATCGGCTATTACAACGCGGTGATCATCCCTTGCATGATCTTGTTCACCGTCGGCTCAGGCATGATCACCACCTTCGACGTCCACACGCCACTCAGGGAATGGTTCGGTTATCAGGTCATTGCAGGATTGGGTATCGGAGCCGGCTTCCAGATTGGCGTTCTCATTGTCCAGACCGTTCTCCCCCAGGAATGGGTCCCCGTGGGTACTGCGTGTGTCCAGTTCTTCCAGGCCTTTGGCGGTGCCATCTTCGTTGCTGTCGCCCAGACACTCTTCCAGAACGGCATGATTGATCACATCAGCGCCGCCAACATCGGTATTGACCCCCAGATCTTCATCAACAGCGGTGCTTCGGAGATCAAGAATGTTTTGGAGCAGATGCACCGACTGGACGCCTTTGACACCGTTCTCGAAGCATACATGATCGGCCTGCGAAACACCTACTACATTTCAGTCGCTTGTGCCGGCGCCGCGTTCCTGTGCACTCTAGGGTTCGAATGGAAGTCCGTCAAGAAGGGCCCCGACGGCAAGGAGAAGAAGCCCGAGCCTGTCATGGCCGCTTAGGGGAGATTTCTCGTCTCATATCCCGGTGGGTTATTGGATTGTAAAACATAGGATCATTGTATAGATACGGCGGACCCATCTCCAGTCGACTGCCCTGATAATTTGTAATAACAATAATAGAATTTCAGTCATCATTTGCGCGAGTGGTATTTGACTTATTGTGAATCGTCCGGAGGATCGTCCCATGACTTTTTAGACCTCTTTGACTCCAAGGGAATGTCTCCTCCAACGAACTGTATTACCCAGTTCTTTACGACCCTTGCCTTCTCTTTTTGTGGGTGTTTTGATGGTTCGTCTCTGGACAGATCCCTGGTTGAATAATGACCGCCTCCATCTTTCCTCCAGAGAAGGCTAAGCTCTGTAAGCCCTCGGCGAAGGCTTTGGCCATAGACCTTGTTTCTGAAAACGTGGAGTGCGATATTTCGCACTAGGACCACATCTTGTCTTCGAAGCATCGTCACCGCACTCTGAAGCGCGGCATCCTTGGACAGCCAAAAAGTAATGCCAAAGCCACATTTACCTTCATCACCTACGAGAACCTCGACAAGTGAAAGGCTCGTACCCCAACGAGTGGTTACCGTTCGGGGCTGCGCAATGGAAATCACCCCAACAACGAGATTGATGGTTTTCACGCTAGGTTGGAGAGAAGGTATTTGATGAGCTGGTGGTATATCTTTCAGGTGTGACAAGTGACATGAGAGTTGAGGCGGAACTATAGACCCAGGGTCGCTCGTGAAAGTGTCGGTGCTCATAAAAGATCCATCCGTGGTCGTGGTGGTCATGCTGCGATCAACACTATCTTCAAGTTGAGAAGAAGGTATGGGGTTGTGCAAAGCGAGCGACTGCTCACAGAATTGCGTGAGGGCTTCCTTGTCCTGGAACGACGGATCATCTACCTTGGATATTCCGTCATAAGTGTTGAAGAAGTCGTTGCTTGGCCTGATAAAGGAGTCCTCGAAACGGTGCAGCTGGGAGAACCCGGTGTGGAGAGGTTTCCTGATGAGCGGGAGGGACCGCCACGCTGCAAGGGAAGAATCACTTCGCGGCAATTGGCAATTTTCTTCCCATCCTAAGAGGCTATGGAGAGAGCTGTCGAAGTTCTCAATGGTGCAAGAAGAATCATCAATTGTGGACGGAAGTGGTGCACCGGTGAATAACATCACGGTCCCCAGAGTTGACATTGATCCCGGTAGAATGCTCTTATACTCCCACTACAGCCCAATTCAAATAATTGGAATCATATCTGGTAGAATTTGAGGCGCTGGATTTTGCTGAATTATGTAGTGTTATAATTTTCGTCTGGTGAAAGAAAGGAAGGAAAATGAATGGTGCAAAGGGAGGAGCCACAGGGTATCTCACTTCGACGGGGGGCTCGGAATTCGAGGCAAGAGCGATCGTGCTGCAGGCAGGCGCCGTAAGTGGTATAAGTGGGGCCAAACGAACCGAGGCAAAAGGCGATCAACCCAAGTTGGTATATTTCATCTACTTCCTACCCAGCTCGCCGACCCGGCGCTCCGAAATCATTTGTCCATTGAATCTGGATTGTGATAAACCTATTGTTTGATCATATTTGTGGTGATACCGCCTCTTCTTGCTCTCGACCTGCAGACAGGGTGCATCACAACAAGCGGCTCTCCAATATGTCCTCCGTCTTCGCTATCCGCGAACATACCATTGAGGCTTCATACATAAGGGAATTTTCCCGCGCAACATCCCAGGTTCAGGATGATACCCTAGTGCAGCATATCAAACAATACACGCCAAAGGACAACCCCAACCCAAAAAAAGGCGATATAACCATAATTGGTGCCCACGCCAATGGCCTTCCTAAGGTAGAGTGTTGTTGAACGCCCCTGGCTCTATTATTTGATGTCGCATACTTACAACGTTCAAGGAAGTATATGAACCCCTTTGGGAAGAGCTATATCACCAGGCGAAAGCTCACGGTGTGCGAATCCGGGATATCTACATTGCCGACGCCGCTTGGCAAGGTAGAAGCGGCATCCTCAACAAGGACAAGCTAGGAAATGATCGTAAGATCCAAAGACACGCTCTCCAGCTTCATTACATATTTACTGATACTGTAACTCCGTATAGCAAGCTGGTTTGACTATTCCCGGGATATTCTCCATATGATCAATACATTGCGGCCTCCAACACCTCTAATTGCCATCGGCCACTCTTTCGGCGGTGCCGCCCTCCTAAACGCCTCACTCACGAGTCCTCGCACTTTCACTTCTATTATTCTTCTTGATCCCGTCATCTCTCGTTATCACTCCGTCCCCGGCGACCTGTCTGTGAGCCCCGCAGCCATGAGCATCTATCGCCGGGATAACTGGCCGTCCCGGGAGGCCGCGGCCGAGTCCTTCGGCCGCAGCCCATTCTACCAGTCCTGGGATCGCCGCGCCTTCGACCTCTGGCTCCAGCACGGGCTCGAGCACACGCCGGACGGCACCTTCACCCTGACCACGACGAAGCATCAGGAGGTGTTCACATACCTCCGCCCGAGCTGGCCGGCCTTTGACGACGAGGGCAAGACGGTCATTAACCGCGATCTCGCCCCGGACGTCGAGGAAGGGTTTGCTGGAGGTGTCAACTTAGTTTGGCCACTCTACCGACCGGAGCCTCCCAACCTGCTCCATCGTCTCCCGAATGTCCGGCCACCTGTTCTCTATGTCTTTGGAGGCTCGAGCAATCTCTCCCCCAAGTCGCTCCGGGATGAAAAGGTGCAGTCTACGGGGTCTGGGATTGGTGGGAGTGGGGGTGCGAGCAAGGGGAGGGTGAAAGGGGTCGTATCCGAGAAATGTGGGCATATGATTCCTTTGGAAGCACCGGGGTTCTGTGCTGAAAATGCGGCTTCTTGGATCAAGGTGTGGCTTGATAGGTGGAGGGCAGAGCAGGAGGAGTACAGTGACTGGGCAAAGAAGCCGCAAGAGGAGAAGGCTACGATTTCCGAGGAATACAAGAAACACGCGGGGAAGCCGGCAAAGCCGGGCAAGGGACAGGCCAAATTATAGACTCATACAGGATGGCCAGGCCGTGCATAGGGTTCAATACTAAGGATCGACGCAATTCTAGGAAATGGGAAAAGAAGAGAGAGAACTTGACTCAACTGAAACTAACTAGCAAATTGAAACCATAACTGATTTCCTTTTCATCGAAATGTGAAATGTCAATGTATCCGGCGGGTCCGTGAGCATAGCTAATTGCCCCTTCTCGAGTGAGGGGGTAACCACACAGACGTACCCGCCAGATGATAAAAAGAAGCAGATGATAGCGGTGACCCGTGAGCCTCCCAACACTCAAGGTTGGTAGGCGGTCATCCGTAAAGAAAATCTCATATCCTCATATAGCTCGTTTGAAAGAAAAAAAAAGAAAAAACAACGTGTAGGCCGTTTCAAATTCCTGGGTAGCAACTTTTTTGGTTCCTAGTTCACAGGTAGTACATGGTATCCCGTAAATTAGGGTGTATCTCGATGGCTTGACCTCTAGTGCTGCCACTCGACACACTCTCAGTGTCGCTGAGATCGTAATTTGGTCGGTGATACCGAGCACGCTCGCATACAATGTCGGCATAGTATGCGGGTGGGCAGATGCTCACGGCCTTGGTTGCGCGGCCGAAGAGGTAGCACAGCTCGTGAGTCAGCTTTTCAAGATTGTTCGCTGCTTGATCCTTGTACTTGTCCCTGAAGATCTCATCCAGTAGAACAGTGTAATGCGCGGGACGGGCGGTTCCCTTGAGTGCGGAATGGGCCGTGAGATAAAAGTCCCAGAAGCGAGTCTGGGTCACACCACGGTCAACGACAGTGCCAGGTTTGATGTTGCCAGTGGACTGATCTGTATTCTCTGGCTGGGCAGGGTAAAACCTGGTATGGTGCCGTTTGACGGACACGATGATTGTGATCTTTGGGTGCTGATCCTTCTTGTACAATTTCTGGCAGGCACTTCTCATTTTAGGAAGCTCCTGCTCGAGAACCTGTTCAAACTGGCCCTCAGACACGCCGTCACGAAAGATGATGATCCGCTGAGGGAGGATCTTGTTGTGCTTTCTCCACAACTCTAGACGGCTCTGGAAGGCCTCGACGAGCGTGTCGTCCAGCATCTCTTGTCTTGTGCTCTGTTCCCAGACTGTTGCCGGCCACTGCGCAAGATCAGGGGCGATACTAGCCACCATGCCCACAAGACTGGGTGGCCTGTTCTTCTCGGTCACAGGCATATTGGTTGGGTGAGTAACATCATAACCGACAACCATGGTCTTCTCGCTAAGAAGCTGGATGTTGTCGGCCAGAACGTGGTTGGCACCACCTGCTTTTAGATTCCATTTCAAAGCGACGTTGGCGGCGTAGCTTTGGCCCTTCCGGAGCACGTTCTCTGAAAGAACACAACTTGTGTGGATACCGTATAAGCAGTCTCCCAAGATCTTGACTCTCCCGTAGACGCTCGTGTCTGCCCTTCCGGAGAAGACAACTAGGAAGAACCTAACGCCTTGTTGCTTGGCCCATTCGAAGGCCTCTTCTATTCTGGGGCCGTGAATGTCGTGGGCAGAAAACTCTGGGAATGGACACTGGACGGGGCGCTGAAGTGAGATTCCGGCGTTCCGCAGATTATTCTCAAAGGTTTTGATGTCTTGGTCGTTCAACATCTGTGCCTGGGAGTAAAGCTTGATCTGTAGCACCGACCATTTCGGGATGATGGCACCTCTTGAGACTAGCCTATCTTTGAAGTTCCAACTTCCCTTCTGAGGCGTCATGAAAGTAGGCTTCTTTTCAAGAGACAGGTATTTGATACGAGGTACCTGAAGCTCTCGGCCTTGCACAACAAGAAGCTTATTGTTAATCCTCATGCCCCACTGGCTCAGTACTTCGTTGTCTAGGCCAAGGGTAGCCCGGCCTGCGGTGAGAATGGCGGTCGCATTCACGTCTGGTCTTTGACAGGCAAGGCTGAGCATCTTTGTTGTCTCATCCTGCATCAATCTTGTTTTGATAGTTTGACCTGGTATCATCGTGATAACCTCAGCCGGGAAAAACACAGGCTTGACAGGGCTCCCCAAGTTTAGAAGAGGATAATCTCCCAGAGTCATTCCGTATTCTAAGATGGATATTAGCACTTATGAACAGGCTGATTATTAGCAAGGCAATGAAGCGTACTGTTTTTGAAATGGTCTGCCACCGTGACATAACGACCTTTTCCATCTTCCTCAATATAGAAGCTGACTTGTTTTGGACCAGCAAAGTAGAAACCATCGGCAACTCGAGGAGAGTTCTTGTCCTTAGAGCGACGAACTTCATGAGCCATGACAAGGTTATGAATCGCCTTTGTCCGCTCCACCTTCTTGCCGTTTCCAACCATAAAGGTGACCTTCACACGAGCCTTGGACAGGGTCTTCGTCAGGTTGGTAAGTACTGATCTGTAACGTCGGTCAGCGTTGTTTTCAGTGATGCCGTCAGCATTAAATTGACGGAAGATTCCCGTCATTGAACCGGAAGCTCTGAAAACGCCACAAGTGACATTGACATTCAAAAGCAATCGGCCCGTGCTGACCCGAACAGACTGAAAGAAACCTCGAAGGGCTTCGAGTGGGCGACCTCGGCCTTGGCCAGCAAGGGGAATGCCGGCTTTCTCTTGCTCGAATCCGTCGCCAAAGGGGAAGAATCGTGAGCTTCCGACAGCAGTAATTTGCTGGGGACTGGCTCGTGGTTGAGTACCAAGGATCATGTTCAGAGCATCAACACACTCTGGAAAAGGTGGGAAACTGAACTGGTACGGCTTGCTTTTCTGTGTCAACATATACTCAAGCAGATCCCCGATTCGAATTTCCGTTGGCTTAAGAATCGAGACCACAAATTCATCCTCATTGCCTGAGTCATCCTCTGTTGGAAGTGTGACGAGCATCGGGTTAGTTTCGAGTTCCAGCTGTTGAGATGCTAGCAACTGGCTCTTGAATTCTGTTGCGACGAGGGTTTGTGCACTGAAAAATTTATAAACTTGCTCCATTACAAGATGGAGCTTGCGCCCTTTGACCTCTCGGGCAGTACCAGCTCCCGGACCCTTAGATTTCGGCTGCTTGGAACTACCCTCATCTTTGGTCTGCTTCTTTGAGCGCTCCTCGACCTTGATGGGGTATTTCCAGAGTGACGAAGCTTTCACTGTCATAGTATAG